CAACATACACAGAGTGTACAAAACATTAGGAACACCTGCTCCATGACAGACAGACTGATCAGGTGAAAGCTATGATCACTTATTGATGTCACCTGTTACATCCACTTCAAATCAGTGTAGATGAATGGGAGGAGACAAGTTAAAGAAGGATTTTTAAGCCGTGAGACATGGATTGTGTATGTGTGCCATTCAGAGGGTAAATGGGCAAGACAAAAGATTTAAGTGCCTTTGAATGGGGTATGGTAGTAGGTGCCAGGCGCACCAGTTTGAATGTCAAGAACTGAAACGCTGCTGGGTTTTCCATGCTCAACAGTTTCCTGTGTGTATCAAGAATGGTCCACCAGCCAAAGGACATCCAGACAACTTGACACAACTGTGGTATGCATTGGAGTCAACATCGGCCAGCATCCCTGTGGAATGCTTTCTACACCTTATTGAGTCCATGCCCTGACGAATTGAGGCTGTTCTGAGGGCAAAAGGGGGTGCAACTCAATATTAGGAAGGTGTTACCCATTTTTTTTGGTCATCACTGATGGACAGCAATATTCAAACCATGTCAAATTTAACTCCGGACTGAGACTAGACCACTCAGGAACACTCAACACCTCTTGGAAAGCCATTCTGGTGTGTCCTTGGCATTAAAATTTGTGTAATTGTCTTGCTGAAAAATAAAACTCTATCCCAGGGTTAGTTTTTCTGAAGACTGAGGCGGGGTTTCCTCCAACTTTGTACCTGGGCTTTGCTCCTTTTAATATTTATTTTTATCCTGACAAACTCCCCAGTCCCTGCGGATGACAAGCATACCCATAACATGATGCTGCCACCACAATACTTGAAAATAGAGAGGGTCTCACTCTGTGTTGTATTGAATTTGACCTAGCCTCTTCGAGAAACAGGCTTCCCTAAAACGGGAAGCCTGGGGAAGTCCATGGCACAAAATCAGCAAAAAAAAAGGTGGGAACCCGGTGTAAATCAGTGATGCCTCACAACACATCAAACCAACCAAATGCATTGCTTGGGCGGAGCACCAAAGGTGTACTCTAGATTAATGTCGTAGGTACAACAGTGCATGAGAATGGCCATGAAATCGCAGATTAAAACCCCATCAAAATACGTTAACAGGAACAAACCTTTTGCAAGGTAAATCGTCTTTATTGCGACCGGACTACACACTGGCTTTAGAAGAGAGAACGGGACCCGTCACACTAAGTGATGGGTTTTTAAAAGCAGTATGTGGTCCTGTTGCAATCTTCTACTCAAAAATAAAAGAAGTGCCAATGACGTGGAAAGAATCAGCTGTTCTGTGAGTGAGAGCAAATTCTAGAGTTAGAATGAAAAGATGTCGCGGCTGTCTCGACCCCCGGAAGTACCAAATGAGTGTCTGTTCAAGAAAGCAGAGTCCATTGAGACGAGGCCTATTCTGGGGCCCAGAGACAGATGACCAGCACCAGATATAGGAATTCAACCGCTACAAGCACAATTTTTTGGTGCATCATCGGCTGTAGGTGACAACAACGAAAGTGATCACCACGTAGTTAGAGTACTCTACCTATGAACAACATAGCTATCTACAGCTAACTTTTGTCAATGCAATAGGCCTTGCAGCTACAGGTGAACTTTTGTTTGATTGTTTGTTATTATCCCAGTATTAATCATTACACTCTTCACAGACTCATATCTCATATAGGTAGAAAACAGTGTTGCACATGTCCTAGGTTCACATTGTAGAATACATTTAATAATATATTTAGTTGATCATAGTTCTCCCGAGTGGCGCAGTGGTCTAAGGGGTCTGTGCCACTAGAGATCCTGGTTCGAATCCAGGCTCTGTCATAGCCGGCCGCGACCGGGAGACCCATGGGTGCCACCCTTTTAAGGGCACGTTCGAAATGTATGTGTGCACTAATGTTTCGTAGTGCGCCTGTCATGCATCATGGTGGGTCCAAAAAGAGATGCTTTGACCGACTATCCAGGCTAGGTGTCTGTGTGTCCAGGAAAAGTACAATGACAAAATTTAAACAGATTGGCTAGTCATGGGATGAGAAATGCCTCCAGTGGAAGAGCGATATGGAGTGTCCAGGTCCAGACTGCAGGGAGTGTAGCTTTCCCTGACAACACAACAGAACGATATGTACAGTGCCTTCAGAAAGCATTCATACCCCTTCACTTACTCCACATTTTGTTGTGTTACAGCCTGAATTCAAAATTCTGATCTACACACAATACCCAATAATTACAAAGTGAAAACATGTATTTCAAAATGTTGCCAAATGTATTGAAAATTAAATACAGACATATCTCATTTACATAAGTATTCACACCCGAGTCAATACATGTTAGAATCAACTTTGGCAGTGATTACAGCTGTGAGTCTTTCTGGGTAACATGCTGACCACACCGCTCGCGTTACGTGTGCGGGTGTTGCAAAATAAAGGTACACATACATTATTCAATCATTTCATCCTAACTCCTCATGAGCGTCTGCATAGCCAGGCGCTAAAATATAACTTTGTTCTATTTTTTACGCTCGACGCGCTGCAAGTCCCGCCTCTCCAATCTCCTCATTGTTTTTTTGGAGCATATACCCACGTCGGTGATTCCACTCCGGTCCAGTTGGTGGTGGTAATACACCTTAAAGTTGGTTGGCAACCACCATATAAAGTCCACAGAATAAGAAAACTGAAGGAGGAGAGATTACTAGAAACTAACTACGTTTCCCCTTTTATCTGTCAATTAATTGTTGATTTTGTGTGACTCAAAATGGGTCAAAATTCTACAAAGATCCAGGACAAAAAGGACTTAGTGCATTTCAGGTAAAATAACAACCCAATGTTTATATCCCAGGACAGATTAGCTAGTAACAGCAAGCTATGAATATTTCATGTTTCGACCTGTCCCCAAATTAATATAGTTGGTTCAGAGTTTGTTTTGATATTTCAACCTGCGTGTCCTGATCGCGTCTTGTGTGGATGGACAAAATCAACGTGCCCGGTGTAGTCAGCATCTAAGTCTCTAAGAGCTTTACACACCTGGATTGTACAATATTTGCCCATTATCCTTTTTAAAATTCTTCAAGCTCTGTCAAATTGGTTGTTGATCATTGCTATAAAAACACACACACATATATATATATATATATATATATATATAAATGTATGCACTCACTAACTGTAAGTCGCTCTGGATAAGAGCGTCTGCTAAATGACTAAAATGTAAAATGCATCTCATTAATAAATCACTGTTTGAAGCACATCAGATTTGTGGGCTTCTTCGATTTTAATCAATTGTCTGGAACCTAGTTCTGGTCCAGTTCAAATGTGCACTAAAGCCCTGAACCAGAGCTATCTGGAACCCACCTGTCTCTCTGCACCTTGGCCAGGTTGTCAGGGGACAGTGGGTTCTCCTCTAGTGTGTGGTTCAGTTCCTTCTGGGACCTGTGCAGCTCATGGGTGGCATCTGACAGTCCCCCTGCCTCTCTCTGAAACTGACGGGCTGCTTTCAGGTTCTGCTCTGCCCCTTTCTGCTGTTCAAGGGCCTGTCCAATGTCGACGGACACAACCTTCCACAAAAACAGATGAATAGGGGCTGAATAGGAGAAAATGACAGTTTAGATTAGAAAGCAAGCCTACCATTCATTAGCTAAAAAGACTCGTCGTCGCTTTTAAAAAAACAGCTGACATTAGCTGCCCACATAATGTTAGCTGAGGATAATCAGATAGATAATACCATATCAGCTTCTGGACGTGATGGCATGATAATAATAATAATATGGCCATTTAGCAGACGCTTTTATCCTAAGCGACTTACAGTCATGCGTGCATACATTTTTGTGTATGGGTGGTCCCGGGGATCGAACGCACTACCTTGGCGTTACAAGCGCCGTGCTCTACCAGCTGAGCTACAGAGGACCCAACACTTACAGCTGATCAGCACAGTCCTGCAGCACTGTACACAGTCTGAGCAGCTCTACCCCAGACAAAGGAACCGACATCCTGATGGTCTGTGAACACTGAATTCGAGCGAAATCAGCCGAGCAGTTTACATTGTTCTATCTGTGATATTACCTAGCTACCTAACGTTAGCTACTACCGTTAACTAGTAACTGTGCGACACATTTTTGTGTTAGCAAATATCCTGGGCAAAATGCTGAAAACAATCAACAAATTCGTAGCTAGCTAGATTTCTTACGTGCCTCCACGGAAGATGTTGAAGTTTGCTACGCTAGCTATATTTATGGTCAATAAAACGTCAGTAGTATAACTTCAGTATATTTTGCTTGCTTGCTAACTAGCCTAGCAGCACACTTGGTAGTTTATGCCGGTCACCATGGTAACGCTCTACGTTTTATGATTATTTTCCTCGTAATATTACAATAAATACTTATTTATCTACTTTGATTCTTATGTTGTGTGAAACGTGCGAGAATACAATAAAGTAAAACATTAAGAAATATATTTTTGATCATGCGCCTCTGTTGTCACCGACTACGTAAATTTCCCAGCATTCCGTTCCAACTTCCTTTTCCTCCATTTTTCTTACAGTGCAGGTGAGAAATAGAAAAAGTCACTACTATAAAATCGAAATGTCAACGTTATTAAGTCTACAATTGGCATAAATGTACATCGTTTCAAAGATAAATATACTTACAGTTGACATGCAGTCTGTTTTTTGATTCCGAGAGTGTATGATGACAAAGATATAACTTGGATAGTTTTACAAAGCTAACCGGCAAGCGCCTGACTGCAGGGATGAGGCCGTTCAGATGTCCCCACCAAAATGCATCTAGTTAGCCTAATAGCGGTTCAATGTTAGCTAGTATACAACATTATTCCCTTATTTTGTGTGCGTACAAACACTACCACAGTGGATAGTTAGCGACCTTCGGTCTAGATGACTCGTTAATGTCCCACAGTCATGAACGTGTGTGTGTAGCTAGCTAACTTTAGCTAGATAGTGTTGTAAGTTTTCATCACGTTCATATCGAGACCATAATACATTAAATTGTTTTTCATCAGGTTTTTCCGTGCCTGGGAGAAGACTCAAGATGCCAGGAAGGTGAGTAGCCAATGTTAGTCAGCTAACTACCGATGTTCGCTATCTGCCACTGTTAACGATACTGATTTGTTTAGGGCTGACCCCCATTTAGTTGTTTGGTCGATAGGCTGTTGGTCGAGAAGTCGCACTTTTTATTTTTTCATGGTGCACAAGACACCTGTCTGATTCGCCCTGTCTCAGTAGACTAATCCATTGCGGACGCCACGGGGATGGCACAGTCCATCACTATGACGTGATACTGAAATTGTATATGAAAATGGATGCACTCATTTACATTTACGTCATTTAGCAGACGCTCTTATCCAGAGCGATTTACATGAGCAATTAGGGTTAAATGCCTTGCTTAAGGGCACATCGACAGATTTTTCACCTAGTCGGCTCGGGGATTAGAAACAGTGACCTTTCGGTTACTGGCACAACACTCTTACCCACTAAGCTACCTGCAGCCCACTCACTAACTGTAAGTTGCTCTGGATAAGAGCGTCTGCTAAATGACAAAAATGTAAAATGTATATGGTTATATTATCTAAAAATAATGGTGCAACAGTAAATCTAATATTATTTTAGAACAAATGCGCTTTCTCCCATGTTGGATGTGGTCGCTGTTTGTGGTTCTGAAACCATTTTCAGTGCCCTGTAGAATTGGCGGCTTTCCTTATGTTGCTATGTGCATAATAGCAAAACTAAACAGCATGTTGGGATAGAGAACAATGCGGTGGAGGCAGCAGCGGCAGAGACAAGGAAACAGCCCATGCCTTAGCCTTAGCCTAATTGTCTTAAGAAAATTGAGGAGAGAGGATACCCTAATTTAACTAGGTCTATAATCAATAGCCTAACTGTTAAATGTGCCTGGCTTTATAAATCATCCATATATATCTACAGAAATATGACACATCTTGCTTCTGTTGCCTTTTTGAGTGTTTAGTAGCCTACTAATTCCGTGGCAAAAAGCCTCATGCAATGGCAAAATGTCGGATAAAGCAATGTCACTGATTTGGCTGTTTTTAGTATTTGCAATGCTGTAATAAAAGCTTTATTTTTTCCCGTTACAACAGACTGGCATTACTTATCAGTTATTTATTACTTATCATTTGTTCAGTGTTTACACTGTTCCAAACAGGCAGAAAAATAATATTGTAATCTAACAGCACCTGTTTGTCACACGTAATATGCACACAGCACTCTCCTATACCCTCCTTTTTCTTGATCTTGTTATTATTACAATTTATGATTATCATTATAATAAAAAGTTGTCGTTATCATTAGTAGGCTGTGTATAGTAGCCTTCTATAACCACCATTGAGCTGTAGGCCTAAGAGCGTGTTCTGTTTATCTTAATACCGTAACTTACTTAGGCCTATATTTCAATATATAGGTTACTGTATCAATCATAAATGCGTTAATGCCATCTCACAGCATATGAGACGTTCATGCTTTGAAATGCAATCAAGCATTTTAGTTTTAAAATTAAATGGCTTAACAAAGGGAGCTTTGCTTTGAATGATTATCCTAAACAATTCATAAACCCACAATTCACGATTGCATGCACCTATTTTTAGTCTGCTGTAATAAAGGCTTTATATTAAAAAAAAATCGTTAGAACAGACTCTTTGGTACACATATTTAGTGTTTACACTGTTCCAAATAGTCCGAAAAAATATATAATATTGTAATCTAACAGCAACTGTTTTGCACACACAATACTCACGCAACGCTTGCTCCTATACCCTCCTCTTGATCTCCAGTAGTTTCCACAACTTGGTCAAATGTCTTCCACAGATCTAACTTCCCCTTTCCCTCCTGAGCAACCAGTAAACATTCGCCAGTTTCGAGTTTCTTTTTCTCGTCGTCCGCATCCGTTTTGCTGTCGACATTACTGTGTTTGGAGTTTGTTATAACCAATTTAGTGATGTGATCACGATAGGCTATACAGTGCATTCGGAAAGTATTCCGACACCTTCCCCTTTTCCACATTTTGTTACGTTACAGCCTTATTCTAAAATCGATTTAAATAAATAAAAATCCTCAATCTACACACAATACCCCATAATGACAAAGCGAAAACAGGTTTTTAGAAATTTTTGCAATATTTTTTATTTAAAGTACCTTTTACATAGGTATTCAGACCCTTTGCTATAAGACTCGAAATTGAGCTCAGGTGCATCCTGTTTCCATTGATCATCCTTGAGATGTTTCTACAACTTGAGTGGAGTCTTCCTGTGGTAACTTCAATTGGTTGGACATGATTTGGAAAGGCACACACCTGTCTATATAAGGTCCGACAATTGACAGTGCATGTCAAAAACCAAGCAATGAGGTCGAAGAAATTGTCCGTAGAGCTTTGAGACAGGATTTTGTCGAGGCACAGCTCTGGGGAAGGGTACCAAAACAATTCTGCATCATTGAAGGTCCCCAAGAACACAGTGGCCTCCATCATTCTTAAATGTAAGAAGTTTGGAACCACCAAGACTCTTCCTAGAGCTGGCCGCCCGGCCGAACTGAGCAATCGGGGGAGAAGGCCTTGGTCAGGGAGGTGACCAAGAACCCGATTGTCACTGACAGAGCTCCACAGTTCCTCTGTAGAGATGGGAGAACCTTCCAGAAGGACAACCATCTCTGCAGAACTCCACCAATCAGGCCTTTATGGTAGAGTGGCAAGACGGAAGCCACTCCTCAGTAAAAGGCACATGACAGCCCGCTTGGAGTTTGCCAAAAGGCACCTAAAGGACTCAGACCATGAGAAACAAGATTCTCTGGTCTGATGAAACCAAGATTGAACTCTTTGGCCTGAATGCTAAGCGTCACGTCTGGAGGAAACCTGGCACCATTCCTACGGTGAAGCATGGTGGTGGCAGCATGTTGTGGGGATGTTTTTCAGCGGCAGGGACTGGGAGACTAGTCAGGATCGAGGGAAAGATGAACAGAGCAACGTGCAGAGATCCTTGATGAAATCCTGCTCCAGAGCGCTCAGGACCTCAGACTGGGGTGAAGGTTCACCTTCCAACAGGACAATGACCCTAAGCACACAGCCAAGACAACGCAGGAATGGCTTCGGGACAAGTCTCAATGTCCTTGAGTGGCCCGGACTTGAACCTGATCGAACATCTCTTGAGAGACCTGAAAATAGCTGTGCATTGACGTTCCCCATCCAACCTGACAGAGCTTGAGAGGATCTGCAGAGAAGAATGGGAGAAACTCCCCAAATACAGGTGTGCCAAGCTTGTAGTGTCATACCCAAGACGACTCAAGGCTGTCATTGCTGCCATAGGTGATTCAACAAAGTACTGAGTAAATGTAATTTTTCTGCTTTGTCATTGTGGGGTATTGTGTGTAGATTGAGGGGACGACGACAATTTAATCCATTTTAGAATAAGGCTGTAACGTAACAAAATGTGGAAAAAGTCAAGGGGTCTGAATACTTTCCGAATGCACTGTAGGGCAAGACCTATTGGTCACATGCATGCGATGCTTGCATGTTTCACGTAAAGAGAGCAAGGGTTGAGAGAATAGGGAATGTTTTTCGTAAACAAATTAAGGATTTCAGTAACAGAACTTTTCAGTCAAAAACTAAGTAAGAAACTAAATGGCTGAAATGATGTTGCAGCTTCAGCATGGACAGCTGAATAAACACTTGCTGTGGTGCCTTTTTGCTGCAATAGCTAGGAGAGCGAGACATGCGCCAGTCACACAGGCAGTGTAACCATAGGGTTCTTTCTTGAGTCATTTGTGTGTCTTCATTATTTAATCAAACAGTGTGCTTAAAGCATCAGACAAGGTCAGTGTATATGTAGTTGATTTTATTCAAAATAAGTTTAAACATTTCAACCAATCGATTGGTCGAAAGAACAGGATGACTCGGCCGACAAATCTTTTTTTTTGTCGCTACTAGACACTTTTGCAAGTCGATACTTAACTTTGCGTAAATGTTACGAGCTAGTTGATACTACATTTGAAATGTGTTGGTTCAAAGTAGGTAGTACAATTTTTGATTGGTTGATTCTTGTGAGTATTTAGGGTATACGGTTGATTAACTGCTGACTGGATTACTCTGGCACCAGCATGTGGGACTGATGATACACATGTTGAGGGCTCTGGTTTATGCGTTCTTTTCATCTTCCCAGACTGTGGAGCAAGGCTATCTTTGCCGGGTACAAGCGTGGTCTAAGGAACCAGCGGGAGCACACCGCCCTGCTGAAGGTGGAGGGAGTGTACACTCGGGAGGAGGTTGACTTCTACCTTGGCAAGCGCTGTGCTTACGTCTACAAGGCTAAGAAGTAAGTTTCACATCTTCTGTCTCATAGCGAATTTCCATTAAGGACACCCTGGTGTTTTACCAAAAAGGAGGACTTTTGTGTTTCCACCCCCATGGCCCGCCTCCAGTGCATCACTGGGCCATGGCCTGACTTTGGGCCACTGGTACTTTTCAGCTGGCGTTTACATAGCATTTAAATCGCTATGGAAACACAGTTCCCCAGAGGACAATATTCAGAAAATATTTGAAAACCCACACTAAGTAGACTACTTGATTGACAACGATTCTTTCTTCTGTAAAAATGCAAACAACCTTTCAGACTATTTCAAAATGTAGATAAGATTTAGTACAGACTAGGCCTGACCCAAAATGTTGAAATGGTAGCCTACTTTGACAACTCATTGAATGCAACAAGTATTAGAGACTGATAGAGAGAGAAGATGCAAAACACAACAACTGTGCAGAGACATATTTCACACTGTCACTTTAGTGTTTGCATTTAGCCTACAACATGTCATGGAACTTCTGGGAGCATGGCCACTCCGGATGCACACCACACACCCTCTACCTCGCGTTAAACTTCTCCTGCTTTCAAATGAGTTACAACTCAGTCCACAAGCCCTGGTGCCACACTCTTGGCTCCCCTCTTCCTGCCATATCACAAAGTGAATGCTAAAGCTGCATTTTGAATGCCTTCAGGAACCAGCGTCAGCGTTTACTGGGAAGGGTTCTTTAGAGGGACCCACACAATGTACGCATTTATGATGGGAATGTTGAGCATCCCCAAAATACATACTTCCACCATTTTCTGCCTGTGCGTCCAACATTGTATAGCTCCTCAGTTGGTCAAGATGGTCAACCCCGCCCATTTTCTTGTTGTAATCCATTAAATGCCCTGGAACAGATATAAGTTCCTACCACTTTTAAAAACATCTTCAAAGCCACTATCACTTTAGGCTTAGGCTGTGTGGTTGAATGGTGGGACTTGGGGCAGACACTATTTGCAGTTTGTATAGAAGAGCCACTTCTTTGGAGTAACTTTGTTCTTGTTTTAATTTAGTTCCATGACAAAAGACTGAATCTGCTCACTGTCTCCTTCAATCTCATCAGGAACACAGTGACTCCTGGTGGCAAGCCCAACAAGACGCGGGTAATCTGGGGTAAAGTCATGCGCGCTCATGGCAACAGTGGAATGGTGCGGGCCAAGTTCAGCAGTAACCTCCCGGCAAAGGCCATGGGACACAGAGTCAGAGTGGTGAGTAGTACCTTCTTCTGCTCTTTCATCATTATTAGCGCAAGGTTTCTTCCGGTACCCGCAGACAGTCCAGTTTTGTTCAAGCCCTGCACAGGCCTTTTTTGCACTATAAAGGGTTCAAGTAAAAACTAATACAGCTCAAAGGAATTTGCTGCGAGCCAACTGTATAGAATATTGTTTTATCCCTACACAACCGCACCTGATTTAAACTACACAGCTAATCCGTATACTTTTGATTAGTTGAGTCAGGTGTGCTTTTGTAGGGCTTGAACAACTATGTCTAATGTGAGAGTTACTTTAGGAATGAATTTGGATAAACTTGAACTTTTGTTAGTTCTTCAAGGAACTACCATGTAATTCCAGATCACCTCAAAACCGATTTTGTCAGAGGAAAAGGGTCTTAATCTTTGGATAAAAAATACAAAAAGTGGCTTTGTATGCAACATCCGTAACAAATAACTTGTAGAACGGCAAAGTGCTTCATTTCCCACATTTTGGTTGGTTCAACACGTTTGTTTTTTAACCACCTTTGGGCAGGCAAAGGTTAGTAAAGTGCTTTGCCTGCTCATAGTTGTTTAAAATCACATGATGCACACCAGATGTCATTAGTATCTTTGGATTGTCATCGTGTAACAACTTGTCTTCTATCTTTTTTACTATGAAAGATAGAAACCCACCGTTTCCTGCAGCTTATTAAGTCGACCAGTCTTGCTGCAGTGCGGTTCTGGTGTGCAATGGCTGCAGACAGTGGCCATGTCCGAATATCCATACTAGCGCAGGGCTCGACATGTTGGAAAGAAAATAGATTGAAGTTGTCCGGGTGGACAACAATCAAACAATTACTCCAATCAGACTTGGCTCAGAGGCCAACATTTGGAATAATAAATAAAAAATAAAGGCTAAATGTCAGTGTAGGCGATATGCATATTGGCTACAGCCTCATCTCCAAACCGATGCTGATATGAGGGAGGCGCCAGAAAATGTAGCCAAACTTTAATGAGACTTTTAATTACATAAATATAGGCTAAACGCCAGTCATGTTTGACAAATATATAATGAAGGATAACTAACATTAACGTCGAAAGGTTTGATTCAGTCGACATACTCGAGGCATGGTTCATTTCGATCAAATGGACAGTGTTTTCCTGCTAATTGCATTTTGGAACATTCGCGTATAGTGCATTGTTGAGCTTATAATATGAAGAACATTTTAACTTTATCAACACTTTAAGATAAATGGTCTGCTTTTAACAATTTTACATGGTTGAATGAATTTTGTATCTGTCGTCCCGGAACTGTCCCAGAGTCTGTTTTGAACCGTATACATATTTTTTTTAGAGTCCCAGGGAAGACGGGACAACCTTGATTTCGAGCCCTGGAGGGAATAATTTTATGAAGACAAAGACATATGGAATTGTTTTAAGATGGTCATACCATGGATCATTTAGCTATTTTACTTAGAATTTTAGGACCCCTTTAGGTATCCCAAAAAAAATTCGGAAAATGATTTGATAAAATATTGAATTTGGCCTTTACTACTGTAGCCTATAGAAATGCATTGAATAACACATTCATAAATGGCAAAAGACAGTCAAAAAAGTATTCATAAGGAACAAGGTTTTGAAGTGTCTGTCCTGTATCTAGGAGATATAAGAAAGCGCAGGATTTTTTAAAATATTGTTTTTTACACTATTGTAACGGTAACCTTAAGATGAGTCCCGTAACACTTGTGGGGGTCGTAGAGCAAAACTGAGGACACCATCGTGTTCATGAGTCTCCCCTTTTCCATATAGTAGTCATACTAGTTTTGTAGGCCAAACCGTTCGTACAGTATACGTTTCCGTGAAAATACCCATTTTCAGGACGTCTCATGGTCTGACAAACACTGCTGTAGCTCGGCCACCTTCCACTGCAGATGCGGAAGGCCACCACAGGCGGATGCTGATTGAGACGCAGCCCATGCAAAAAACATATCTCTAGCTTAAACTGACAGATTTTGGTGGGTATTCTTTTATTATGTTAGATCGACTCTAGGGTTTTTTAAAGTGGCAGTGTTGTATTTTGAGATAGGCTTGAATATGCAACTAATCCAATAAGCAGAGTGTAGCCTCCATTTTTGTCTGATTCACTGGTACAAAATATAGTAATGCATTTTCTTTTTTAAAAGTGGTTCCTTGCATCATATAATGATGTAAAAATGGTGTTGTGGACCATTTTTTATTTTTGGACAAGTAAAAAATCAGTCCTACTTATCCAGAGGACAAGTGGCAAAGAAAGGTTACTTGTCAAGCACTGTAGCGTACTAAATATTATGCGAAATTGTGTGAAGGGTACTCAGGAATGCGTCATCTAATGCGTGATTACGTTGACTCCAGCCATTCGTTCATTTTGGTACATCGTGTCAATTTAGCTGATTATTGGCTGTTGCGAGTCGGAAAAGACAAGTTAATTCTATTAGATCAATCACCAAAATGAGTATGCAGTTTAAGTATGTAGTATGCTAGTATGGATATTCGGACATGTCCAGTGACTGGTTGTGTATGAGGCCAGCTGGGAGGTGCTGAGAAAATAAATAAACTCACCGTTTTCAGATGTTGGGGTGGTGCTGGAGAAAATGGGTGGGATTTCCCTGAAAGGCACTTTGCCTTCAGGCATTTTGGTTTCCTTAAATGTTTATCATTGGCAGTGTCACACCGTGTGACACTACTTATTATTGCAGTGCATCTGGGTTGTGGGGAGAAACAACATACTACTGAAGTTACAAACGCTTTGGGAAACCCACTGCTGAAAAATAAAGGATTTGTTTTCCTTACCAAAGTTTAAGCTAAAAAATCACTAACCTTTTCATGAAATCTTAATGGATTGTTTTTAGTGATAAGAATTATGTAGGCTTTATTTTAATACTTACCCTCTCCTACATGACCACTACATATTGGGCAAGTGCTTGAAAAACATCTTAAAGTGCCAATTACCCACTCACTGTATGGCTGTGGTTTGTATTGATTTGGTGCCTATGGACTCCACTCACTGCGCTCTCTGCTTTTGTCTTTCAGATGCTGTACCCGTCTCGTGTGTAATGTGCTGTTTTTGTGTACATACAATAAACAAGTCAGGTCCATAATTGGTGTTCTGTGTTCTCTTGGCCGTTGGAGGGGGGGAATCCATCACTGGCCTCTACAGTATAATGGCATGGGGGAGGGGTGAACACATTTTCGATTTAATGTTATTTTCAGGGCTTTACAATATGAATTGTTTTGTTAACCTTTCTTTCTTGACCAGTCAAGTGTTTTTACACAAACAAATTACTATTGTGCTTTCTGAATAGTGATGGAATTTGAGGGTTAAACTCAAGAAATTCAGATTGGACAAAGGTATAGGTCAATGTTTTTTTTTAAGCAGGGGAAGGGAAGTAATAATTTTACCTTGCAAATAAATTATTAATATGCACAGTTGGGTAACAGGGTCTCATTTCTAAACCTCAGGGATTGCTGCTTCACAGTATTAGTTTAAAACCTCAAATGTTTTAATGCCTGACAAATACTAATTGTGCACATATTTACATTCTGTTCCTCAGTGTTTCAAAGATTGCTATGGTGTCAAAAACCTACAAAAATATATAGCTATGCAAAGCTTTTCACAGTATTTGAGTCATCTTCACTCCTACAATTGACTTGGCACACACTTCAATTTAAATTCACTGTATTGCAATCCAGATGCTCTGACCAGCGTTATGATGGCATTGCTTAGCAAAAAGTCCAGCGACAAAGTCAAAAGACATATTCAAAAGTTATCATACATATGAACATATTACAAGAGGAGCAAACCACTGCGTAAAGGCCAAATCAAACTAAAAGCGTATTTTTACGACTGTGAACACGCTGGAATTATACTTAACAAAAATATAAAGCAACGATGTCAACGATTTTACTAAGATACAGTTAATATAAGGAAATCAGTCAATTGAAATAAATTCATTAGGCCCTAATCTATGGATTTCACTTGACTGGTCAGGGGCGCAGCCACAGATGGGCCTGGGAGGGCATAGGCCCACCCACTTGGGAGCCAGGCCCAGCAAATCAGAATTAGTTTTCCCCCAAAAAAGGGTTTAATTACAGACAGAAATACTCCTCAGTTTCATCAGCTGTACAGGTGGCTGGTCTGACGATCCCGCAGGTGACGAAGCCGGATGTGGAGGTCCTGGGCAGGTGTGGTTACACGTGGTCTGCGGTTGTGAGGCTGGTTGGAGATACTGCCAAATTCTCTGAAACGACAGAGGCGGCTTATGGTAGAGAAATGAACATTCAATTCTCTAGCAACAGCTCTGGTGGACATTCCTGCAGTCAGCATGCCAATTGCACGCTCCCTCAACTTGAGACAACTGTGGCATTGTGTGGTGACAACCACATTTTAGTGGCCTTTTGTCCCCAGCACAAGGTGCACCTGTGTAATGATCATGCTGTTTAATCAGCTTCTTGATATGCCACATCTGTTGGGTGGATGGATTATTTTGGCAATGGAGAAATGCTCACTAACAGGGATGACAAATTGGTGCAAAATAATTTAGAGAAATAAGCTTTTTGTGCATATAGAACATTTCTGAGATCTTTTATTTCAGTTAATGAAACATGGGACCAACACTTTACATGTTGCGTTTATATTTCTGTTCATTGTATATAATGCACGGTTGTGACCGAGAGAAGACTGTCAGCGAGCATCAATGGTGTCATGCGCGTCAAATTAGAAAGCAAGTGTATTTTTCTTTGTCTATGCGGAGCAATGCTGGTAAAATAAGTGGATAAATGGCGTGGGTCGTTTGTAGCAAAGGAATTTGAGATTTATGATTTTCCTTATGCTAAGTAGACTAGCTAAAGATTTAGTTTAAAATGTATTGGGTTGTAAGCTAAGGTTTCAGTCAAATGGGCTATATACACTGCTCAAAAAAATAAAGGGAACACTTAAACAACACAATGTAACTCCAAGTCAATCACACTTCTGTGAAATCAAACTGTCCACTTAGGAAGCAACACTGATTGACAATACATTTCACATGCAGTTGTGCAAATGGAATAGACAACAGGTGGAAATTATAGGCAATTAGCAAGACATCCCCAATAAAGGACTGGTTTTGCAGGTGGTGACCACAGACCACTTCTCAGTTCCTATGCTTCCTGGCTGATGTTTTGGTCACTTTTGAATGCTGGCGGTGCTTTCACTCTAGTGGTAGCATGAGACGGAGTCTACAACCCACACAAGTGGCTCAGGTAGTGCAGCTCATCCAGGATGGCACATCAATGCGAGCTGTGGCAAGAAGGTTTGCTGTGTCTGTCAGCGTAGTGTCCAGAGCATGGAGGCGCTACCAGGAGACAAGCCAGTACATCAGGAGACGTGGAGGAGGCCGTAGGAGGGCAACAACCCAGCAGCAGGACCGCTACCTCCGCCTTTGTGCAAGGAGGAGCAGGAGGAGCACTGCCAGAGCCCTGCAAAATGACCTCCAGCAGGCCACAAATGTGCATGTGTCTGCTCAAACGGTCAGAAACAGACTCCATGAGGGTGGTATGAGGGCCCGACGTCCACAGGTGGGGGTTGTGCTTACAGCCCAACACCGTGCAGGACGTTTGGCATCGCCACTGGCGCCCTGTGCTCTTCACAGATGAAAGCAGGTTCACACTGAGCATGTGACAGAGTCTGGAGACGCCGTGGAGAACGTTCTGCTGCATGACCGGTTTGGCGGTGGGTCAGTCATGGTGTGGGGTGGCATTTCTTTGGGGGGCCGCACAGAGGTAGCCTGACTGCCATTAGGTACCGAGATGAGATCCTCAGACCCCTTGTGAGACCATATGCTGGTGCGGTTGGCCCTGGGTTCCTCCTAATGCAGGACAATGCTAGACCTCATGTGGCTGGAGTGTGTCAGCAGTTCCTGCAAGAGGAAGGCATTGATGCTATGGACTGGCCCGCCCGTTCCCCAGACCTGAATCCAATTGAGCACATCTGGGACATCATGTCTCGCTCCATCCACCAACGCCACGTTGCACCACAGACTGTCCAGGAGTTGGCGGATGCTTTAGTCCAGGTCTGGGAGGAGATCCCTCAGGAGACCATCCGCCACCTCATCAGGAGCATGCCCAGGCATTGTAGGGAGGTCATACAGGCACGTGGAGGCCACACACACTACTGAGCCTCATTTTGACTTGTTTTAAGGACATTACATCAAAGTTGGATCAGCCTGTAGTGTGTTTTTTTCCACTTTAATTTTGAGGGTGACTCCAAATCCAGACCTCCATGGGTTGATACATTTGATTTCCATTGATAATTTTTGTGTGATTTTGTTGTCAGCACATTCAACTATGTAAAGAAAAAAGTTTTTAATAAGATTATTTCATTCATTCAGATCTAGGATGTGTTATTTTAGTGTTCCCTTAATTTTTTTGAGCAGTGTGTGTGTGTGTATATATATATATAAATATACCGTTCAAAAGTTTGGGGTCACTTAGAAATGTCCTTGTTTTAGAAAGAAAAGCAATTTTTTGGTCCATTTAAAATAACATCAAATTGATCAGAAGGCTAATTGATCATTAGAAAACCCTTTTGCAATTATGTTAGCACAGCTGAAAACGGTTGTGCTGATTAAAGAAGCAATAAAACTGGCCTTCTTGAGACTAGTTGAGTATCTTTAGCATCAGCAATTGTGGGTTCGATTACAGGCTCAAAATGGCCAGAAACAAATAACTTTCTTCTGAAACTCGTCAATCTATTTTTGTTCTGAGAAATGAAGGCTATTCCATGCGAGAAATTGCCAAGAAACTGAAGATCTCGTACAACGCTGTGTACTACTCCCTTCACAGAACAGCGCAAACTGGCTCTAACCAGAATAGAAAGAGGCGTGGGAGGCCCCGATGCACAACTGAGCAAGAAGTCAAATACATTAGACTGTCTAGTTTGAGAAACAGGCGCCTCACAGGTCCTCAACTGGCAGCTTCATTAAGTAGTACCCGCAAAACACCAGTCTCAACGTCAACAGTGAAGAGGCGACTCCGGGATGCTGACCTTCTAGGCAGAGTTGCAAAGAAAAATCCATATCTCAGACTGCCCATCTTAATCTTTTATTTTTATTGGCCAGTCTGAGATATGGCTTTTTCTTTGCAACTCTGCCTAGAAGGTCAGCATCCCGGAGTCGCCTCTTCACTGTTGACGTTGAGACTGGTGTTTGGGTTGAGGTTGGGTGATTGTGGAGGCCAGGTCATCTGATGCAGCACTCCATCATTCTCCTTCTTGGTCAAATAGCCCTTACACAGCCTAGATGTGTGTTGGGTCATTGTCCTGTTGAAAAACAAATGTTAGTCCCACTAAGCGCAAACCAGATGGGATGGCATATCGTTGCAGAATGCTGTGGTAACCATGCTGGTTAAGTGTGCCTTGAATTCAAAATAAATCACAGTGTCACCAGCAAAGCACCATCACACCACCTCCTCCATGCTTCACGGTTGGAACCACATACGGAGATCATCCGTTCACCTACTCTGCTTCTCACAAAGACACGGCGGTTGGAACCAAAAATCTCAAATTGGACTCATCAGGCCAAAGGACGGATTTCCACCTGTCTAATGTCCATTGCTCGTGTTCCTTGGCCCAAGCAAGTTTCTTCTTCTTATTGGTATCCTTTAGTAGTGGTTTATTTGCAGCAATTTGACCATGAAGGCTTGATTCAAGCAGTCTCCTCTGAACAGTTGATGTTGAGATGTGTCTGTGACTTGAACTCTGTGAAGCATTTCTTTGGCCTGCAAATCCTGAGCCTGGTAACCCTAATTAACTTATCCTCTGCAGCAGAAGTAACTCTGGGTCTTCCATTCCTGTGGCGGTCCTCATGAGAGCCAGTTTCATCATAGCGCTTGATGGTTTTTGCGACTGCACTTGAAGAAACTTTCAAAGTTCTTGAAGTAATGTCTTAAAGTAATGATGGACTATCATTTCTCTTTGCTTATTTGAGATGTTGTTGGTCTTTTACCAAATAGGGTTTTCATCTGTATACCAACCCTACCTTGTAACAACACAACTGATTGGCTCAAATGCATTAAGAAGGAAAGAAATTCCACAAATTAACTTTTAACAAGGCATACCTATTAT